TCTCGAAGGCATCTATATACGGCTTCTATATCAGCATAAGTATTTTGCTCACTCGGCTGCCAGAAAGTTAACAGAGGAGGGCCAGGCAAAACAAAAAAAAAAACAAAACCCCATGTAAATGTGTGACTAAGTTGTATAATATCAAATTCAAAATTCTGGACAAAATCTAGTACTTCAGTTGTTTAAACTGGAAATTTTGAAGAAAAACAAATAGCCCCAAGCTTCTCTAATTTTCACAAGGGGCAAATAACAGCTCCAAGTCATGTCATGTATGTAAATGTAACCATATCTGATTCAAAACAACTTAAATTCCTGAATCTCAATTGCAGAGGCTACAAAATTACAAATTTAAGAAAAAGAAGTTAAGATTTTCAATTTCTTCAGTCCGCAATTTTTTCCCAAGAGACAAAAACATTTAAAGATAAAAGGGGCAAAGAATCAAATTCCATACCTTCCCAGTTGACTGCCCATATCCAGAATAATCATATCTGCATCAAAACCACCCAAAACTGATATGAAATTAAACACACAGTAAAGAAAACACGATCAAGAGGCATGATTTGGTATGTTCATTCATTAGTACTGACCCCATCAAGTTGACTCTGAGATGTGCACTAAGTTCAGTAAACAGCTCATACATTTGCCCCAGATCAGCAGCATTTCCATGCGAGTACAGGACAGTCAATGCAGCAGCAGGATTCTTAATGTACACAGCCACCACCTGATTTCCCCTCTTGGTTCCCACCCTCAAAACGTCAACGTTATCCTTCGCCATCACCCCTGTCATCAACAGCTTCCCCGCATTTCCCGCTGCCTCCACCACCGCATACGACGGTGGTTTCGGCGGAAAGAACGCGAACTTCGCCGCCACAGATGACGTTACCCCTCCCATGTCTCACCGCACCAAACCAAATTCAACCCAAAAAAAATAAAAATAAAAATCCAAACTTTTAACTTCAATAAAATGCGAAATTCATCCGAATCAAAGCTTAAATCTTTCAGCTGATCCAAACATGCTTGAGTTGATATTTTCCTCAGTCATGATAGATTTCAAGGTGTAAGGAGAGAAATGGAACATAAAACCGCGTGGATTATCTTGTTTCAGACTAAATACGTAACATAAAACAGAAAGAAAATGAAAGAGAAAATTTTGAAGATACCCTTTTCTTAGTAACTAAACAGTAAAAAAAAAAAAGGTGGGGAGAAGTTAGAAATCCATGTTAGTGTTTGGAGAGGGGGAAAGTGAGGGAAAAACGTGTCGGATTTTTTAGGGTTTCCGGAGGAAGATCCGGCGAGGAAAAGGAAGCGAGCACGTGTGGGATGATTGGAGAGGGAAAAGATGGGATAGAGTGATGGTGACGGTTGTGGTGAGAGCATGTCACGTGTCCTTATAGGGGCCTAGTTGTACCGTCCGTCATCGAGGTGAAGGGTGACAGCTTTTATTTTGTGGTTCTGTTTTAATTTTTTTGTTTCCCGTTTTCCAATCAAGTCCAAGTCCCATCCCAAATGACCTAATACTAGAAATAAATAATTAAAAAATATATATGTAATATAAATTATATTAAATTGTA